GGCTGATAAGATTGGTTTTAATCAAATTCGGGACACCAATAAGCCTCTTAGCACTCCTTTTCGTTGAGTTCAATGCTGCTAGGTGGCATTTTGCAGCACCAGCTCATAATATGGCAGCAATACTCCACGCACAACCAGACTTGCGCTTTATATAAAGTTACCAGCTGTCCCGGTGTGAAGTATTGCCGCACCTTTGCAAGGACTCCTAGCTATTTCATTTCATATTTGATCCCTATCGTTTAATTATCCAAACTATTAAACATCAACCTACGAGTATAGCAGTTACCTATTGAAATCTCTGACATCAATTGGATTTGATGCATAGGTTACGTTTTACACGCGAATAGGCAGTCGTAGTTTTTTTAAGACGTCACCTCCGCTGTAGTATTTTCTTTGTATTGTGGAGGCGGCTTACGTACACAGTTTGCACAAGGAATTGGATTCTTCTATTTTGTGCACTTGTTCAGTGTGGGATTCAAACCCGCGGCCCTTCAGCGCTTCGATCAAATTCTTAGCCACTGCGCTTGGAAACTGTCTAACAGGAGACGGTTGGCACATTTTTATCCTCGTTGGATGCGAATAGATATTCAATAAAGATTCGAGATTAAAGCTATGAAATCTCACTTTCACTACATGGCAAATAATATCCGATATATTTTTAAAATGTTAAAAAACAATTTTTAGTAACATAACGTGTAACAGAAAGTAAAAGTCGACTTTCAAGAACTAAAAAGAATAAAATAATTTCAGTCTTCTGTGCTAAGATAAAGTATATAGAAAAATTAAATAACAAATTTAATAATAGAATATGAAATTATTTTATTGTTGTTAGTTCTTTAAAGTTGGTTTTTACTTTTTTGTTACACTTTATTTTATTGCGTGTTTGAGTGCACTAAGGAATATTATTATCTCAATGTTGTCTAAATAGTTACAATATCAGCTTCATAGTCCATTTCCTAACTTTATGGGTGAAATATTTCCTCCAATTTTGTATGACACAACCCATGAAGTGTAATATATGTGATAGAGAAAGAATCATAAAAATTAGTACACAATTGACGAAGATATCGCGTAATATTACAAAGAAAAAGAACGTTTTTTTTTAATTAAAAAATTAATGAAGTGTCATCAGCAAACCAGCAAACCAACAAACTTATAGTCAAATTGTAAATCTCCTACTTTTTTGAAATCAAATAAAAAATTACTTGCTTAATCAAACGTGTCTTTAAATATAGGCTTGTCAGTTTTATATATGATTCTAGATATTTTCATATTAATATCAAATTTATTATTTATAAGAATACTGATAGTTATCAAACAAGTAGCTTATATTTGAAATATGTTTTCTTTCTAGATCAATTAGTTTTCTCAGATTGAGTGTATTATTTATTCGAGTCTAACCACTAATCAAATCTGATACAATTCCGGACCAATCAGATGATATCAATAAACATTTCCTGAATTACTTAGCCCGATTGAATATAGTTCAGAGACAGACAAACCATATTATACTTTGTTCAATAAATTGTGGAGTTCATTATCCCTTATCAATTCTGCCAATATGCGAAGCAAAACAAACAGGATACGTCTGGAGAAATACCGATTAGATTACATTACAGTAGACTAACAGTAATGTTCATCGTGAATGTTGTGGAAATGTGAAACTCCCAGATAATTAAAATATGTGTTAAGCGTATTTAGGCGCTTACTAATTTAACTATTTTTTTAATTATAATAATAACATGAATAAATACAATATTTTACGTTTATATAGTATAACCCAAATACAATGTTTTAAATCAGCAGCAGCAGCAATTTAACACCTGAAAAAGTGTTGATCTTGTAAATACTCGTATCAGATATACGAGTAATATATGAATACTGTTGTTTACAAAACGCTCATTTGTCAAAATGCTTACATAACGCGGAGGCATATTTTTAGTACTAACCTTTTGATAGATTATAGTGTAAATATTTCAGCATTCCGTAACTGTTCGAAAGACTTTTTATTCATTATAGTTATATCCGTAATTGTTCACGTGCTTAAAGAATTTGCCCGAGGTTTTCTCTCATAACACTGACGTACTCTATGATACTGTTTAATACAAAACATTTCAGACCATAGTTTATTTAAAACTAGTGCTGTCTATTATATTTTTCTAATAGTTTTACTTATCATCACTCAGGATCAGTGCACTTCCGTGTCTAGTCTATATATATTAGAACGGAAGTGGTACTACTTTATAATGCTAATTCCAACTGCTTAATTTCACTATCGCACATCGTAATGAAACTTGTGATAATATTTAAACTATCGATAGATATAATATTTATACTACAGTTTGGCGATCAACCAAGGTACGTTTCAGAAGAAATTTTCTTCCTCACACAACTACCTTGTGGAATAGGTTACCAGCAGCCATTTTTTCATACTTATACGACTTAGGGACTTTAAAAAAAAGAGCCTACAGGCTGACAACGCACCCACAACAGGTTTTATATTTCTTCGTGAGCGGGACTAGTCGCCATCACGTTAGAATAAATCATAAAAATGCGCTCCAGTATAAAGGAAAATGAATTTTAACCTATTCCGCTATTTTAATATTATTTATGACCACTACAAGTTAAATAAATATAATAAATCCACTGCAATTAAACATTCCCCCAGTTCCCCCCCCACATTATTAAAGAAATGGCAATTATAGTGTCGTAACTAAACTAAAAGAGCAGGTAAGTACTTGCAAATTGTGTAAAGATAATTAATTCTTCTTGATTGTTCTTGATAATTCGAGACATAATGCTTATTTGAGTCTAATGTCTTATAATATTGTGCATCCAACTCGAATTTTTTTAATGAATTTGTCGACTACGTTTTTTGATTCACTAATGGCAGATCAATATATGAAATCTATGAAATGGTAAAACAGCAACAACTTTGTAAAAGAAAAGAGGATGTCCATTAAATGGTAAAACAGCAACAACCTTGTAAAAGAAAAGAGAATGTCTATGAAATGGTAAAACAGCAATAACTTTGTAAAAGAAAGAAGGTGAGAATAATATAGCTTTTCTTTTCTTATTTTGTTCCACGTAAAACGCCATATGTATAAAGAGTTCAACTGCAATAATTTTGCCTTTATTTTAGTTTTCCCTCTATGCTAGTTATTACTCTGACGGACTGCCCGAATGGGTGTTGTAATATTGTTCGAGAAGGGTCAAAATTTGTGTGCGTTCTCACCCCTGATGACTAAGATAGGATACCTCATTACCTGTAAAAAGGACTTCCCTGAGGTATCGGTGGAGAGAACCTTTTACTGTAAACGAAGCATCCCATCTTATTTCTCAGGGAACACGACGCATCTGCATCTTGATTCTTAATCGAGGAAAGATATTGATGTCTATGGACTACAGCATCCAGTTACCACCATGTGAACTGTGAGCTTATTTATCACCCTCATTCTATAAAAAAGTTTTTTTATAGAATGAGGAGAATTAATTAGGGGATTGTTTGGTTTAAATCTGGGTAGTCAGCAACTGATTCCTGAGATCTGTCAAATTGTGATATTCATTCTTCCATGAAATGTTTAAAATTTGTATTCGATATATAACGGCTTAATATTCCTCGTGGACGCTTATATTGACTGTGACTTCCACTGTATTGTAGTGTCTATGATAAGTGTGAAATAAGGAATTTGATAGAAAAGTTATAATTACATAAAAAGTGCGTTTAAATAAATTAATGTGATCTTATTTTGGATAAAGATTATAAGTTTTAGAAGTTTGTATAAATCGAAATATAATGTAATAATATTCGTCAGTCATAATTAATTTCAAAAATAAATAAGTAACATTAATTTTATTAGAAACTTGATTGCGTTTCAAAATAATAAATTAATATATCAATAAATTATTTTAAAATATTTTTAAAAATTAATTAGTTATTCAATTTAAAAATATTTACTTTTAGATTATTTAGATTACTGCATTTTCCTGTTAAATATATTTGCAATTATGATTCGAGTATTTTTAAATATTCAAATCATAAAATATTAACTTGAGTTAATAGAGTATTACAAAAACATTCATGAAGTCAAAATTCGAATATATGGACAATCATGCTCAAAATTTTTTATAATTTAGCCTAATTTATTTAAATAATTCATACTGGGCGAGAAGAATGCATAATATATAAACCGTTCTTACGAATTAGCATCGAACCTTTTATGCCCCAGGAGGCAATAATTTAATTCGCAATATTCTACCGTATAATACCAAGTTACTAACCTCCTTATAAAAATTATGTAAAGTCGTTATCCTTTTCAAAATACGATTTCATTAATTTTAAAAAAAGGCGAAGAAATAAGAATGCTTAGGTTGTAAATTTATGAGCAAAAAATTTCTACTATACAAAAAATTTCGCTGACCCGTGTTATGGATAGGTAGCGTGTTTTAAATTTTTTTGCAAGGGTAATTTCATTTAAATCCTACCCGGCACTGCTTTTAAGTGATGATTAGATCACGTGTATAGCAAGAATAAGTAAAGGAAGTATGTCATAGCATAATTTCCTCTTGATATTTCAATATATATAGTAGAATAATAAATAAATACCATTTTTTTATTATTCTACTGTACTCGTATTTCGCATACGAGAGACAGTCTGTGCATTGTTATTACATATTAAAAATCAAGCGATAATATGTTTCTCAGTGTTATGGTGTGTTAGCAACTATGAATTAACTTAGTTATAAATTTCGTGTTTTAGAGGGCCTGGGTATTTCTAGCAGTAACCTGAATAAAATGATTTGACAAGTAATTCTTGAACGCCATATTGAGAGTAGCTTTATATGAATAATTTCTCTCTAAATAAATTTGGACACAACATACACATTTCATAATAAAATATCAACAATAAAAATGGTTTATTACACATCGCATGCTAAAATAACAATATATAAAAATAATGTTACATCTGCCAAAACGGGGTTTTACTCCGATTATTCCCTTAAGTTAACAAATCTGTTGGACATTCGGAGCCACTGAGTTCAACGGAGTGTCTTAAATGTAATCTAGATACATCATTACTAGTACGTTTTTTTTTATAAATACATACGGTTACACCTATAACGACACAAGCTACTGTTAACACTGAACACCAAATTAAAACAATATTTGGTAGTGTAGAGTCTGGCGCGATAAAGTCTTGATGATTTTGATCAATTTTATGGTTAACAGTTTTATTATAAACACTGTCGTCCCCACACGAAATACCATACACATTGTCTTCATGATAAACTTTATCAATTGATGTTACTTCCAGCAATCTCATTGTAGTTATTTTAATACTCCTAACAATTTCTTTGCACGAAAGTGGATTTCCACCTAAACTTAACGATCTGAGCTTGCTTAATGAGTGCATAAGATTTTCTACATCTACATACTTAATATTATTATAATCAATTATCAGTTTAATTAATTCAGTGCACTCATGAAACACATTCACATCCAATTCTGAAAAGTTATTTCTGGAAAAGTCTAAAACTTCTGTCCTATGTAGACCTTTAAGACTTCCATATCGCAGTCTTATCAAACGGTTTGAAGACATATTGAGGTATTTTAGAATTTTAACATTTTTAAAAGTGCCTGGAAGCAAACTTGAAATATTATTATTACTTAAATCTAAAGATATCAGATCGTCAACCTCTTGAAAAAATGAGCTGCTTATATTCAAAATTTTGTTACTGCTTAAATCTAAACTAACTAATTCTTTAAAGAAAGTCAGGTTAATATATGAAATTTGATTGTGAGAAAGATTCAATACCGTAATATTTGATAAAGTGTTTGTTTGAGGATTATTAAAATCGATTATTTTATTATGAGCTAAATTTAACACTCTCAAGTTTGTAAAACTTTTGAAATCAGTCAAAGATAAATTTAAAACATTATTAAACGATAAATCAAGGTACATTACATTTGGTGCGTTTGATAATGAATTTGAGAGCTGTTTTAGTTTATTATTGTTTAAATAAACCGCCTTCAAGTTTTTGAAAACGCTATTATTTAAATTGAAACTCGAAAGCTGATTGAAAGAAATATCTAAACTGTACAGATTATCTAGCCCATAAAAATTAATAGGTTCTATAAATTCAATTGCGTTATGTGAAAGGTTTAATCTAGCTAATACAGGTAGATCTACAAAAGCCATTTTATCAATTCGATTTATTCTTAAATTACTTAAATCTAAATATCGCAAAAATTTTGCTGGGCTAAACATATTGTATTTTATGTTTCCAAATAGACTATTACCAGTCAAATTAATGTATTGTAAATTTAATAATGGCAGGGATTTTGATTGTATACTTTTAATTTTATTATTTGATAAATCTAATTTTATTAATTGTTCTTGACTAAGAAATTGGTTCTCTTGTAAAAAGTTAATACTGTTATTGTTCAAGTATAAATGTGTTAAATTAGTTAAAGTAGTATTTAAGAAGGCTAACGATGAAATATTGTTATGTGACAAGTCTAGGATATGCAAAGAATTCATTTCACTAAAACTATCTTTATCGATGTACTGTATACTATTAACACTTAGGTTTAAATTATCCACCATTCTCATCCATGTAAAAGCATTTGATTTTAATGCTGTAATGTTTTGGTGGTATAAACTTAAATATTTTATCGCGCTTAGTCCAACAAATGTAGTGTTTGTAATTTCGCCTGATATAAAATTATTTTCTAAATTAATGTAACTTAGGTTACTTTTTTCAAAACACCCTTCTCCAATGTTCTTGACCCGATTACTATATAAATTTAAATACTGAAGTTTTGCATTGTTTTTAAACATTTCAACTTCTATTTTAGATATTATCCTGTTGTTACTAAGATCTACAATTTTTAAGTTAGGTGCTTGGTTAAAACAATTTGATTCCAATACTTCGATTGCATTATTGGACATATTAAGTATTTCTAGTGAAAAAAGACGGTTAGTTTCGTATCCTGAAATTTTTTTCAATTTATTAAACGACATGTCTAACTCTTCTAATGACTTTAAATTTATTAACATCATGTTTAAAGTTTCAATCTTATTATGATGTAATATTAATTTTGTTAAATTTTTTAAGGAGCTTAAACTATCATCCGATAACATTTTAATTTGATTATTCTGCAAGTAAAGATATTTTAGGCGTGGTAAATTATTTAGTACTCCATATTGTATATCAGTGAGGTTGTTATTTGATAAATCTAGCACAGACAGTAAAGCATCTGACGTCAAATACAAGGAACTCGGAGAAAGACTTTCCATATAATTATTTGACAAATTCAGATAATTGAGGTAGGCAAAATTCTTAAAAGCTTCATTTTTAATAGTTTTGATATGATTACCAGATAAATCAACCACAACGCTTTTGGAATAATATTTAAATGAATTTGATTCTATACTATTCCATGTATTTTCAATTGCCCTTATTTCACGAACTCTTGAGTCAAAATTAGTTGAACCAAAGAAACCTGGAGTCAGTGCATCAATCCTTGAATGTGATATAATAAAAACGACATATGGTTCAGAACTACAAGAATACACTTGAGCACTTCCAGCGTATATTTCACATCTCACTGCGTATTTACAGCTGTCCACATAGTCAGTGACAGAGCATGAATTTGTGGGAAATGCAGGTTTTGCAATTACGAGCAGAATGATGAAATCTGAAACATGTTATTAAATGTGTTATTTTTATGTTTTTGTTACATATAAGTGCAATTCTTCTAAGTAGTTAAGCACTACTAGTCCCAGGAGGTTAGCCAAGTAGATATTCTACAATTGATAATGTTTTTTTTAAAGAATAACGGAGACAAACGAGTACTTAGTCCACCTGATGGTAAGTGGTCGCAGAGGCCCCTAGATATCTATAACTGTTCTCAATTAAGAATCAAAATGCAGATGCGCTGTGACTTCTCTTCTGTCTCCACTCAAAGAATCTTTACACTCACCATACGAATTATAGTTGAATTAAGCTGCTATTCACGCTAGTATTCTATCAGAATTCTTCCCTGGTCATGCCAGTCCATTCATGCAACGGTCATAATATAGGTACAGCTAACACTTCCACGTGGCCTACATGATGCTGAAGCTAACGCCAATAGAATACTATAAGATGAATGAAATCAACAATATTTCACGTGAATGTCGAGATATATAATGAGATGTGTCAATCCCATTCATCCTTATAGTTTTCTACTGGTGTTATCAATTGTAGAAAGCAACTTGATTCAACCCGCTGGTCCGCCTTGGCCTCTATAATCGTTTCAACTATTTCTCGTGCAAAGCAGTTAATATACCTAATTATATATAGTGAAGTAATCAATTTAGAGTTACAATAAATAGGTCTTATTCGTCTGCCCCGTTTGTGGGTCAAAGTAGCCTTTTGCTATCTGGTGTTATATTACTATTCTGGTGAATTAAAATATTTTTAAATGTTTAAATTTTAATTTAACAAACAATAGATCAATTTTAAGAATTTTCTACACTTTTACAATAAAACCAGTACAAATACTTCGTAAAAAAGAAAAGAATTTGCAATGCTGACCACTACTAATACTTCGGTACTATGTCACAGGTTATGAATTCAAATCACAGATTTAAGCCATTATCTTTACTGAAATAGATTTTGTTAATTTGTATTGTCTATACCATAGTCTATACCATAACCTGGCGCGTGTAAGTTGCGGTTTGAATAAATTTATATGTTAAGATCACATTCACCCACAAGTGTCAAAAATTCTCGTGTTTATTTAAATACTGCTAATGATTACATTTTCTCCCTAATTATATTTTATGAAGAAGCTTCGTTACACAATAATCAAATATAATAAACTGCTTACATATAAACACTTTTTCCGCCATTGCTCAAACGCACGTTTTGCAGAATTTATATACTATAATACTTTTTCAAAATACCCATAAGCGAGTAATCATTTTTGTTACAAATTGAGTCACAACTGTAATACATATGTAAGTGTCGAGGCTTGACTGGGTTATTTTATTGAATGCCGGAATCCATTGATAAGGGAATATCAGACCTTGTTTGAGTGTAATTTTAAAGAAAAGGATACTGATTGGAGAAGCTGTAAATCTGCATCAAATATTTTTTTTGCATATACACTTAAATTTTATCTGTGATATGTGATAACAGTATTGAAGTTATAGTTGTGTTAAGTTCAGAAGCTGTGGTAGTTCAGAAGCTAAGCGCTGGTCGTAAATTTCTCGGCACACTAGCAACCCGGTTCTGATTTCGAATGGCACCGACGAAATTATTAATTGCAATTTTAAGTGCTATAGACTGGCGAATCAATTGCACCATAACCATCTCAAAAATTTTGAGTTATTGATAGAGGTATTATGTGAAGGTAGAGCCTTGGTGCAGTTACTTATTTGTGGCACGAATGGGATGGCCGAGCGGGGAAGGACCACGCTCTCACAGAATACCAGATTAAATTAGCAGCTTAATGCTGCTTTGTTTTATATGATGTGTGTAGAAAACCGGAGATTTTTTTTACTGACAACGGAGTATTCCATTTAAGTCCTCAGGGATGACAACGTTTCTGCATTTTTTTCTTAATCGATGGACCCTACCATCCACTTACCAACAGGTGGCCTGTGTACTCGTTAAGAATAGATTAGAATAGATTCATTTTTATTAAATGTAGATTACAAGAATACTTATTGAAAGTCATTTAAGTTATACCAATTCTTCGGCCGAAACCCGAAACCTTCCGATCGCCCTTATGGCCTATTCTACTGAAACATCTAGAATGTTCGTGTATATACTGGTCCCGACTGACTAGCTGTAGAAAGTTCTCCTAGTTCTACTACTGGATACTAGATGGCGCGAGTTATGAAGCGCCACATGCCAGGCATTAATTATATAAATAAATTTTAAACCTTTTGATAGATGAGTCCTACAACTGCAGTGTCTGTCGCCCTTACTCTGTAAAAGTTGGAATAATATAAATTTATAGAAAAAGTTCTACTCTTTATAGTTATAAAATGGAGTTTATGGTTTTTATTTTAACTATTTAAATGACATTCTAGTTGTTACTGATATTCCTTAATCCAATCAAAATGCTAAAAAAATTGAAAGTTTAGTAAAACATCAAATAACTAAAAATGAAAAAATATTATCCACATAACAGCTTCTGGAGTCAGGACATTGATTATTGTAGAATAATGTACTATGACTTAGCACTGACTTCTGAAGTTGTTATCTAGAAATGAAGTCAGAATTTACATTTTATAAATAGTTTAATTTTTCTACGTAAAGTTAGAAAAGAAACAAATTAAATAGAGTGAGCTTGCTACTCTTATATCTCATTCATTGTGTATCACACAATGTTTATGTAACACTAGCGAACCGCTCCGGCTTCGTACGGATGATTTCTGGATCTCGACAACAGCGAGTTTAAATGTAAATTTAAACCATCTATAAACCCATTCAAAGACATACTAAAAATTTCATCAAAATTAGTCGAGCTGTTCTTGAGTTTTAGTAGGACTAATGGAGAGCAATTGATTTTAGAGGCCATACGTAACAAGTAAATAGTAAAGTTATAGTTTATAAGTGTTTATTTTATATCGAATAATGTCTTGAAAATGATTTTTAAATATTTACCGAAAAATTATGTAAATTTTTTAAAGTTCAGATATAAGTATACAAAAAAGTCTAAATTTAAAAGGTAAATAAAACCTTACTCCTAGTAATCGACGTACAATTAATAAATGCTTAAAATTTTTCTCTTTCTCTCGCTATAATAAATAACAATCGAAACAGACAGATATAGAGACAATTAATACTTAAATATGTATGACCAAATCATGTGCAACACAAGTGACTCCATTCCACTTCTGTTCTCTACCGGAAACATTTATCGTGTTGGCTATAACGACTGTTAGTAGAGACAATAAACAATACATATTTGTTTAGTGTTCATCATCATCATTACAACCCTTCACAAGTCCACTGCTGAACATAGGCCTCCCCCAAGTAATGCCACAAAGCACGGTCCTGAGCTACCTGCATCCATCGACTTCCTGCATATCTTACCAGGTCGTCACTCCATCTAGTGGGGGGTCGCCCTACACCACGCCTGCCGGAACGAGGCTGCCACTCGAAAACCTTTCTTCCCCATTGGTTATCGGTTCTTCGAGCTATATGGCCGGCTAATTGCCACTTCAGCTTACTAATCCGTTAGGCTATGTCGCTCACTCTGGTTTTACTGCGGATATCCTCATTTCTGAGTCTACCAAGCAGAGAAACTTCGAGCATAGCCCTCTCCATAGCTCGCTGAGCGACCTTGAGCGTCCTCATACGGCCAGCAGTGAGGGACCACGTCTCAGATCCGTAAGTCATCACTGGCAACACGCACTGGTTGTACACTCTAGTTTTCAGAGATTGAGATATACCTGACGAGAAGATGTGTCGTAATTTCCCGAACGCTGCCCAGCCGAGTTGAATCCGTTGATGGACCTCTCGGTCGAAGTTGAACTTACCTAGTCGGACTATGTGTCCCAGGCAAACGTGCTCGTCAACAACTTCGAGCATAGTGCTCCCAACAACTACCGGCATAGATGTGACATGGACATTAAACACGATCTTTGTTTTGTCCATGTTCATCTTAAGGCCTATCCGTTGGGAGACACCATAGTGTTCGCCCACACACATTATTAAATCATTACGGCCATAACATCCTTTTCTCGAAGCAGTTCTAGCTAGCTAGCAGACTATCTACAAAAAGAAATAAGATTCCGTAAAAAACATAACGTATAAAACCAAGTCTCGCAACTCAGTTCTTCTACTGTAAAAAGTTGTGAGATCCAAGTCATTTAATTTATTTAGTCCCTACTTAAGGTTCCTTCCGTTTTAAGTTATTACGTATTTGCATTTGCATTTGTATTACTGGCCAGAAACTTACAGCAGGGTAAATATTGGTCAAAATACCGGAGAGTTTTTGTTACAAACTGTCACCTTCAAAAGCTCTTTTTATAAATTGCCTGAGACTAGCCCAAACGAATTAATTCTCTTTATGTTTTATAAATTTACTTAACCATCGCACAATCGTCTGGTTTATCGATACCAAAATACTGTCTTTTTTAAATATTTGAGTAACTAACGAGCTAACAGTCCACCTGATGAATAGTTACTACAGCCTATGAACGCCGGCAACCGACTTTTTTATATTCATATTCATATTATTTATTGCATCCATAATGTTACAGTTAAGGTCGAACGGAAAAAAACATTTTAAGTTTTAACTTAAAACTATGAGATTATTATGGGCCCATTACGTAATTATCTAACCTAACAACATCTTATAGTGATCATAACAATGTCAAAAATATTTTATGTTTTAAATAAATAGATTGACTTGGCAATCGCACTGAACAATCTAATTTAATATAATATGTATTACTTGTGAGATACATTGTGTTTTCATGTGATGGCCATAGTCAATCACTTTATTTAATTTTTTTTAATGTAAAATTTAAGATTTTTAATATTGATATGGTTACTATAAGATTTCATTAAGTTGGCTAATTACGTAATAACTTAAAACAGAAGGAACCTTAAGTAGGGACTGAATAAATTTACCGATTTGGTATTACATGGATCTCACTTTTACGGTAGAAGAACTGAGTTGCGAACCTTGGTTGCGAGACTTGGAAGTTATGTTTTTGATTACATCTTCTTTACTTTGATTTCAATTTAGCTGCGCCATCTGCATACGATTGTGTTCATTAATTTTAATTTATTCTGATATAAAAAGAATTTGCTAAAAGCATGTTTGGTTTGGATTTTAACGTAAAACTGCTAAAAGATTTATTATTTTATCACATCGGTATAATATGTATTTTTGTAATAAAATGTTTGTAAATTACGTTTAAACAAATTTTCGCAATTACGTAAACAAATACATGAATAAATATGGAGTATGAAATAATACTCATTATAAATCAGATATTTATTTATTTATTTGTTTTTCATGTAATCATAATATAATCAGACTTTTTAGTTCATTTGCTGTTGTTTCTCCCCACCCCAGACTAAAATTTAAGTTCAGATTTGAATGGATTATAAGCCATCAGTCAATTAATATATCCATCTAGATGTACAGCTTAAAATTAAGGTTTCTCATTTCAATTTTTTGGATAAGTGAAGGACACGGCGTTTACAGAACAAATAATAGACTACTATTCTTATATTGTACCATCTTTCTAGGCAGATGTTTTCGGCCCTATTGTCTTTCAGTGCGATAAATTTCACTCCAGAATATTCATAGTGTATAATACTCGTATGTTATTATATTGTTGGTGATACTTATAGAGAATTCATATCTGGTTGGGCTAAATAATTTTTATAGCATTGGATGACATACGAGCAACTAGTTTACCTGATGGTAAGTGGATGCTGTGGCCTATAGACATCTACGTATTTATATAATCAAAATACAAATGCGTTGTCACCCCTGAGCACTAATTTGGAATGCCTCGATTCCAGTAAAAAGAGTCTCCGGTTCTCTACACTCACCATAAGAAACACAACAACATCACGCTGCTATTTTAGGGCTGGTATCCCGTGAGAGTGTGTTCCCGCCTCGGTCGAGCGGATCCATTCGTGCTTCAACTATAATGTATCTGCGCCGTGGCTCTACCACGTATATAAAAGAAAATGATAAATATACATAAATACATTAAATACAGTAACAAAAATGAATAAATAATTAAAAACTCAACCAGAAGGAAACGGAAACCAAACGGTCGAGGGTTAGGGGGAAAAGGGAAAGAAACAGGTGGACAATGCAAGCGGTATGAAAGAGCACCGTCGTCCCAACAAAAAGCGTTTATGTGTG